CTTTATCCTTAAATAACCTTAACATCCTGTATCCTTAAATAACCTTAACATCCTTTATCCTTAAATAACCTTAACATCCTTTATGCTTAAATAACCTTAACATCCTTTATGCTTAAATAACCTTAACATCCTTTATGTTAAATAACCTTAACATCCTTTATCCTTAAATAACCTTAACATCCTTTATCCTTAAATAACCTTAACATCCTTTATGTTAAATAACCTTAACATCCTTTATCCTTAAATAACCTTAACATCCTTTATCCTTAAATAACCTTAACATCCTTTATGCTTAAATAACCTTAACATCCTTTATCCTTAAATAACCTTAACATCCTTTATCCTTAAATAACCTTAACATTCTTTATCCTTAAATAACCTCCTCCTCCCGCTGGGCATCCCCCCCCCAGCGGTGACCTATCAGTAATACCTCACATCATTACTGTGGTGTTTACCAGTATTATTGTGGGATTGATTTCTGGTCATTATCTCGAATACAACACATGTTGTGATGGGATAGAGGATTAATGCCAATTAGTGCTGCAACTAAGGATTATTGTCATAGTCGATAAACCTAATGATGCTTTTTAAGATTAGTCCATTAGTCATTTAGTCTAATTTAATGTCATAGAGCATCGTACACAACGTGACCAATCGTGACCCATGTCTTTCCATTGCAGGGTGTGAAGGGCTACCAGGGGTTACCAGGGCAACAGGGAAGGCGGGGCCTGCCGGTGAGTGACATGTGTGTCCGGTGGTCCTCCATGAGTCGATACTGAGTGAGACTCAGACAGTGAACACAGCGAGTCCCCAGGCGGTTTGCTCTAAGTCTAGAATCACCATTGATTTTCTAAATGATCTTTAGGGCGAAGCCTGCGTGCCACTTGAGATAAGATCACTTCATCCTTTCAGGGATCAGACTAGACTCAGATCAGACTATGCCCAACGTTATGATGAAGGGCTGAGGTCAGCAGAAGGATCAGTCTCTTCTATTAATATTTGTCTCTCATCGCCGCCTATGGCAGCGAGACAGAAAGGTGAACAAACCTGCTGTGGCTTCCTGTCATAGGAGAGAAATATATCATATATATTTAATATAAGGGATGCATTCTGCTCAGCAAGGCACCAGGACAGATATTTTCATGTAGTATTTATTTCAGTTTCAGTTTCAGTTTTCATACATCGATATTCAGAGTTGTAATTAATACGGTGTCGTTAGTTTTTTCTTCCCAGCTGTGAAGATGCCGTTATCTGATCATCTTTTTATCTACGTCCAATTTTGTTTTATTGTTGTAATTGTCATTCTTTTTTTTAGTCTGTGTTTTAATGTTGCTCTGTGAAGCCCTCTTGGCTGCGTGTTTGTATGAAAGGTGCTGTATGAATAAAGTTGAGTTGGCATTGTGCTCAGGGACCGCCGGGGCTCCCTGGACTTCCTGGACCGTCACTGAACATGACCCTGACACAGATTAAGGTAAAAGGTTTACTGGTTAAGTTTTATTTGAATTAAATGAATTATATGAATTTATTAAATGAATTGCAAGTTAAACATGGGTTGTTTCTCTGAGGATGACGCTGATAATCACACATGTAATTACTTTTATAGAGTCCTCTGATTATATTCCTAGTTGTAGTTATTTGTAGTTATATTTATTAGATAAGTCATCAGTCGCTGCTTGGATTAAGGCTTTTTATCCCCCATGACCCGTCTGGCCGCACTTCAGCCAGTAGCCACGCAGGAAGGATCGTTTAGGTCTGTGTCAAATTAATTTCACTGGATCGGATCCATCCATATAAATGAGTGTTGCAATTAATTAACTTAAGTTGATTTTTATGAGCCGGCGACGTGCAGCGCATCGAATCCCAATGGCTCTCTTGGTTGCCTGGGGATAAAAAATAAGTGCCTTCATAATTATTACCAGAAATTGGAAATGATTGCTCGAAAAAATACCTTGGATTTGTGGATCCGGTTACTCAAAATGTGGCTTAACTTATGTACAGATGCGTAGGCTGGAGATTATTTTTATTATTATATTATTTATTACTATTTATATATAATATATAATATATATATATATATATATATATATATATATATATATATATATATTATATATATATTTATTATATATATATATATATATTATTATATATTTATATATATATATACTGTATATATATATATATATATATATATATATAGGTTATATATATAGCTCCTCATAAGGAAGATGTAATGTTGTGAACCCTCTGGGATGCGCGTTGGCTGTGTCAGCCGTTGTGTGGACTTTTTTGGGGAGGGAGACCTCAAACCCAAAGCCACATTTAATGAAAGTATTTTTTTTGTATTGATTGTAATGATTGTGAAGTATGTCTGGGGAGGCAGCAGCTGCTGCTGGGGAGATGATTGTCAAACCTCAGATTCAGGGGAAGGAATATGGGTTTGGTCCTTTCAACGGTGCAATGGGTGGTATTCTCTTGGATATTTGTGTTCATTACACAGCTTTATTATACGGCTTTTTTGAATACTCGATTCTAATTGGTCAATTATGGCATACGTCTGTCTGTTATTTCTGAATAGCAGACCGCTGCTATGAATAACAGACCGTTGCTATGGACAACCTTGGATCTAACAGACTATTTATTTTAAAAGTCAGTGTGACTCAGGTCCCTGGCAAAAAAACAGAGTTTATTTTGCAGTAATAATGACCGGCTGGCTACACATTATCCCTCACATAGTCTTCATGGGTGTAGAGGATGGGGTGTGAGAATATAGGAGATATAGGAGGTGGGGGTTCCACTTGGCACTGTTTCGGTATCCCTTTTGTGTTGATGAGATTTTCACTTTTAATTAATCCGAATGTGTGTGTGTGTGTGTGTGTGTGTGTGTGTGTCTCTCCAGGACCTGATGTACATGTCAGACAAGCCCAACTACTACATCCTCCAGAGCCTGCTGGCGTCTCTGAAGCAGGACCTCCGTCTGCTCCTGGACCCCCCGGACGGGACCAAGGAGCACCCGGCCTCCTCCTGCCTGGAGCTGTGGCTCTGCCAGCCTCACTACCCCAGCGGTGGGTCCTCTGGCCCCGGGCCCCCAGACATACTGATCTATCTCTATGTTTTACACGGCTCTGTTGAATACTCGACTACCTGAGCAGTCGGTCTCTTCTAGGGCTGGCCGATATGTAAACATTTATTATCGCGATAATTATGGGGAATGTTACGCAATATCGCGTAAAAATATCCCGATATGCTGATGAATTCAAAATACCATTCTCAACAGTCTAAGAGCGTGTTCAGACCTGGCGTTTTTTGTGATAGGGAAAAATTGAGCAGACCGTTTTTTCAATAAAAAAAAAAAGCTGGCAGCGTTTTTTGTCCTGAAAGCGCCAAGAGCGTTTTTTCTATCGCCTAGCAACGAACCCACTCTAGACCCCGACGTTGTCAAAAAAACGCCTGACGTTGGGCACTTCTTTCCTGAAAGTTGAACTTTTTTCAACTTTTTTTTACGCTCAGTGTGGGCAGAGAGAGGCGTTTAAAAAAAACGCCGGGGACTTTTTCCAAAAACGCTCTGCTACATAGGAATATAATGTAAAACAAGAAGAAGAAAAAAACGCTAGGTGTGAACACGCCCTAACTGAGCGTCGTTACATTGAAGTATATGAACATTTCAAGTATGGTTTATATAAATATTACACGGTCATGTGTCTCCCAGCCTACCCAGTGGACTGTACCAACTGGTAGGCTTATCTATCCGTCATCCATCCGGGTGGACACTCCCACATGTGATGTCACTAGAGGGTAGTCACATGACAATTAAAATAGGATCCCTTTTAAACACATTATGGGAGTATGGCGTTGTAGTGTTGAAGTCCAGCCTGTCCTCCTGTCTCCGCAGGCATGTACTACATCGACCCCAACCAGGGCAGCCATGCGGACTCTCTGCTGGCGTACTGCAGCTTCACAGACGCGTCCAAGCAGACCTGCCTGTACCCCCGAGACTCCCAGGTATGAAGGGCTCGATACTCACTGCTGGAACAACAGCCAGTTCCCCGCCGCTCACTACTGCATGCTGGGTGAGACCCTCCGTTATGTGGTTTACGATCCATAATTGAACACGTGTTTACTTATTGATTAGGATTGGGCACGCCGGCAGACTATCTGAGGGGTAGACTGAGCGTTTGCAGGTGGAATGCAGATCAGTCGCTCTGAAAGCCTCTTCCTGGGTCGTGCCGGACGGAGCCGGAGTCCGGTTTTCTTTTTTTCGAACCTCTCAGGAATAAGCTCGTGTTTCTAGAACAGACCACAGAGGTCATTCTGGTACCGGACTCCAGTACATTGTGGAACCGGTCTCAGGTCTTGGGGGTTAATGTTGGCGGATGCTGGTTCTCTGTGTGCAGATCCCAATGAAGGCCTGGATGGAAGACGTCCCTGAGGAGGACTTTCATTGGCTCAGCAGGCTGGAGAACGGCTTCCAGGTGGGTTACACACACGTCTGACACGTCTGATCTCACTTTATCTTTGATAATGGTTCCTTGGCATGAGGTTAGTGGTTTAGTCTAGAGCAGTGTTTCTCTAATGGGGGGTAAATGAGGAGGTATGGCTAGGGGGTACTTGGAAAATTTCAAAATAAAATTAAAAAAAAGTGTAAAATAATGCCACCACAATACAATGTGTTGAATCTGAATATCACCTTAATAAAGTTAAATATAATCAGAATACTACAAGTTCGGGAAATGTTTCTACATATTCACACCGCCCATTTAATGTTCATGTTTACACCAAATAACACGCACAATACATTATATATTTTTACATTAATTTTCATTTTTCCCCGTCCCGGTTGAGAGGGGTACTGGGGGCTGGAAGAATATCTTCGAGGCGGTGCGTCGTAAAACTAGTTTGAGAACCACTGGTCTAGTGGTTAAGGCTGTCGAGAAGGTTGTGGGTTCAAATCCCCATGTCAGCAGTCTACTTGTGGGCATCCATGAGCAAGATGGATGCGCGGCCCTGACTAGCTGAACCGGTAGAGCATGGCATCAACGTTGCTGGGGTCAGGGGTTCGATTCCCACTGGGACCACCCATGCTAAAAATGTATGCACTCACGGTATGGCGTGTATACACACACACATATATATATATATATATATATATATATATATATCCCTACCTGCTCCTTAATGATACATGTCTGCTAAATGACAAAATAGTAGTGTGTTTGTTTAGTTAAATAGAAATAAATTGCTGATTGTACAATCATCATTAGTGGACTACCTGTTGTGAAATGGCCTACATGTTATTATCATGTATTTTCTGTGGTTGTGTGCCAAAAACTAATAAACCTTGTTAATGAGATTATAATCATTTGAGGGAGGGATTAGTGTTGTTTCTAACTGCGAGTGATGATTAAGCCTCTAGGACGTGCTGTGTAGTTGGATGTTTTGGAGCATACATTTTAAATGGTAATTACTGTAATTAGTTGGTTCTGTGCGTGTTGTGATTGCTTTAATGGTGCTTGTGTTCTCACGTGTGAGAAAAGCTAATTGTTTTTTACATACTGGTTTTTTTTGTTTTGTCCTTCATCACAGCATCAATCGTCATTGGGAATTATTTTCTTATCTGGCTCTTTTTTTTTAAATAATTTTTTGGTAAATTTGGTATTACACTTTTTAGATAAAAGTCACTAGGGATGCAGAGGGAACTGAGATGAGCAAAAAACATATTACTCCAAGCCAATGCATGTACTCTTTTAGTAAAAGTATAATTGTACTAATTATTTCCGTTAACGCTGCTTCCGCGTTGACTTTGGTTGACGTATGTTCACTGAGTAACGCCCATACGAGTCATTCGTCTACATCTATTCCTCCAAAATAAAAGTCCCTCTTCTAAACACCTCCCCCCCCCGTCTCTCTAGTTTGACTTTGTGGGCGCCACGGTGGTGCAGATGCGTTTCCTGAGGCTGCACAGCACCACCTGCAGCCAAAGGGTGACCTACTCCTGCCACCCGGGCCACAGGCTGGGCCGGCTCCAGCGGGACGTCAAGTTCCTGGCCGACACCAGGAAACAGAGCTTCTTGGGGACGCTCCAGGACTGTGTGGTAGGTACTGGGGGGCGGGAATCACCACGATACTAAAGTCACCATACCATATTAGTGCGATTTTTAAACATTTTGCTGAGTAATCGCGATTCGTTACCATTTTTTCAACTACAAATGATGTTCCCAAAGGAAAACTTTGTCAGCATCTGTTTTATCTCATAAGATAAAGGGTTAGTCAATAAACAGACCTCTGACCTCACCAGAAAAACATTCAGCGCCATCTGGTCGACTAAGAAAGCAAGTAGAAAGCAACTATTCTAGTACCAAAAAGTTGAATTTGTATTTGCATAAAACCTGCTAACCCTGCATGTATTTATATATATATATATATACTTTCTCAAGTTCAAAAGTTCTCAAGTCTGTGGCATTCAGATACAAGAGCAGTAAACGTCGATACTCGTACCTCAGATGAATCAAGTTGGAGAGTAAGAACAATAAGTCCATGTATTATTGATGCGTGCTCAGCCAGGGGAGGAGAGTGCCTCGGGCCCCAGGGAGTCTGTGTTCGAGTTCGAGGACCTCCAGCTGCTGCCCCTGCGGGACCTGGCGGTGATGGGAGGACAGAACTTCACCCACCAGTTCAGCTTCTCCATCGGCCCCGTCTGCTTCAGCTAGAGACACAGAGGGGTGGCTCGACACCGTGAACCCACAGACTGTGTTCAGGCACCCCCCCCTCCCCCTCCCCCTCCCCCCCTCCTCCTCCTGCACCAACATCTACAACACGAAGATCAGACCAATACGTGGACACCATGGGGGGGGGGGGGGGGGAAGCCTGTCCTCCATTTTGTGAGGACGCCACTGTTCATTTCTTCTTCCTGTTTCGGAGATCGCGTTTCTGCAACAACAACAACAACAACGACAACAAAAAAATGTCCACAAGGTCAAGGACCTTTCTTTTCACTATTGTTTACAGAGATGTTTATCGTGGATTGAATAATTTAAAATGTATTGTGCATTATGTTTTTTTTTTTCTTCCTGTTTGTTCGTTGTATTTTATACATAATGGGCTCTCCATCCCTGTGTGATTTGTGTACGCTATCCCGGCCCTCCGCTATAACAGATCCCTTTTGTGTGTGTATAGAGGTCAGAGGTCAGACTGCCCCAACTGAATGCCATGTATGAGATGCAATAGGGCCGGTCTGCTAACAACGTGTTTCACGCACTGCAAATAATCCCCCTCTGGCCACACTTGATGAAGCCAGCAACGAGGTCTATAATACAAGCTCTCCACTGTCCCATAATACAGCAAATTAGTTGTCTGGGTCGGTTTTTTTGTTTCCAAGGTGCTAAGAAAATGTCAGTTTGTATTCCGGTGTTGTGCCAATTTCTGCTACCCATCAAATTCTGCTACCTAGTGGTTCTGCGCATGCGCATCTCGAAAATTCGCTACACTTTTCTTGTTGGAAGTTGTTGGAATTTATTTAGTTTAATTGATTATTGATGTTTTTTCTTTAAGTGTTTATTTTACATTAAATACATTACACATGCTGTACCCCTGAAATCTTCAATATATACGTTATAAAACAGCATCAACAGTGTACATGGGGTGAGTAGTGGTGTGAAATAACGTGATTCTGCAGTGGGAGCATTATTTGATAGAGGCGATTGGTCTAAACACATAGCCTACTGTACCCCTGAAATCAAGATTTGACAGACTCTGCTATCAAATCGCTCTACGGTAGCAAAATCTGACAAGGGAGCAAAAATTGGCAGAACACCGGCCATTTTAATCGTATACATAATACTTGAAGTTTACCAACGTATCGCGTTGCGGATAAACTCCCTGCGCTGCCCTATACCAGGCTATACTATACTGATCCTGTTTAGCATTGTTTAGCATTGTATTTCACGTATTGCTTAGATTTTTTTTTTTGATTTTTTTTTCTCCATAATTGTATATTCTCGTCTCAGGTACGGTTCTGAATAATACACACGTTAGCACTGACGCTGCTGTGCACACAACGCACGTTTATTCAGTCACTCATAAATCATCCACTGCAAGAGTTGTCCAACCCCGTTAAAACTCCTCCACCTTTTACGAGTTCACTTGTAAAGTTTACATGTTCACTTGTAAAATGTGCACATGAAAATTCCCAAAAACGTAAAAAGTGATCCTTGTGTTGAGTGAAACAACTTAATCTTGATCTATCCCATCATGCATCTGGGTGGGCGCGACCATTTGTGATGGAAGATATTGAAATGACTTGTAACGGCCGAATCGTCAACATGACACCTGTTGGTCAAATCGGGGGTCCTTCGTTGTCATCAACATCGATAGGTAAACTTCTCTTACTGAGCAGCAAAAAAACAGTAATAAAACGTTGTTTGTTAACCAATCAGAAGCAGCGCCTGGGGTCAGCTGACTGCAGAGGACCAGGCAGCAGAGATGGTTCGAGGGAAGGAAGGCGAAGGGTGTGTTTGTGGGGTTTAAAAGGATTACAGTTTTTATCCTGCCATACTTCAATCATTTTGTATCAATAACTGCCAAAAGTAGTCAGTTTAAACACACAAGCCCTGTGGTACGTTCCTTTATCTCTCTTAAATACTGAACCGTTTCTTGTTTCTATTGTTGCAAATGGCTGAACGAGACAGGTTGTTTCGTTCGACACCTCTGCTGCCACGGTGCTAAAATACAGTTTTAAATGGTTCTTCATTTATATTTGTTTTTTCTTTGTATTTGTATTTTTTTTTTTTATATCAGCATATGATTGCCTTAGCTGGCTGAGACTGATCATTGGTACTTAATACTGACCCCTCGTGTTTGTATAAATCATAATTTAGGCAGTGAAGTGAATTCATGCTGGACATTTGTCTTGTCATTTATATTAAAAAAAAATGTAAAAAGTAACTCTACGGTTGAATAAAACCAGTTCGATCTCTATTGTGCTTTCCTGATTTAATATTGATTAAATATGCGTATATAATATGTCAGGAATAGGCTTCCTTATTATAACCTTATAATAACCTTATAAGGTATATTATAAGGTTATAATATACTTATAAGGTATATATAAGGTATATATATATAACTTATAATACATGTTTCATCCATTTGATCAGAGACATTTCAAAAGAGAGAGACTACCCGCGTGCGTCTCAACTTCCTTTAATGTGTCACGTGACCTACACAAAGGCGCGCCATTGGCGGGCTGCCTTCGAGGCCCCGCCCACCCACCAAAAAAAAAAAAGAACCCGGAACCGTTCCACTCGCACCCCATTGGTTCTGACCCTGGACGCGTCATCCCGTCCACGCTCTCCGATTGGGTCCCGCCTCCGGTTCTCCACAGAAAAAAAAAAAAACAATGAGCACGTGGTCGGGTCACGTGACTGCCGCGAGCCCCCCCTTACACGTCAACTGTCACTTCCCGGTTTCGTTTCCGTGTCCACTGCTGCTGTCGTCTGTCGACGTCTTTATGGACCCGTTTACCGCGCCGCCGTCGCAGTGTTGGACCCGAAGCTAGGTAATCCACCCAGGACCCGCACTGGGGGGGTCTACATGCGGGCTCTCCCCGTCACCGCAGACCTATGCTGCCTACTAGGCTATGAGCCGCGGGGGATGCTAATGCTAAGTGACTAACGCTAACAGCTGGCTGGCCGCTGGACGTGGGCTGACGTCATGGAGGATTACTACGGTGACTGAAAGGTGAGGGGGGGGGGGGGGTGACCGTGTTGTGACGTGCTTAGGTGGGTCTGCGTGTTGTTTACCCTGGTCTTACCCCGGTCTGGGTCTGGGTCTGGGTCCGGGTCCGGGTCCAGGGTCCCCCTGCTCGTGGCTCTGGCTCTGGTTGTGTTGTTGTGTTGTTGTGATGATGATGATGATGATGTCAGTACTGGATGGACAACACGTGACTCCTGGTTATGCACAGGTGAGTTGTTTAGAGAGGACGGATGACATCACAGACATCAAACGTCATGACACCAACAGTGTTGACATGCAAAAGTATATGACCAATTATAACGAAATTATTGTCTTTAATTGATTT